ATGAGTTGTTAAGTGAAGTGAGTCACTGCTTGTTTAAAAAATGAGCTGCGCCTGAAGGGATTTGTAATTTTTTATTTTTATTTTTTGTCAAAAAGGAAGTTTACGCTCATTGCTCATTGTTTTCTTGGGAAAGCGAATGCTCTTCACGTCTCTATAGGCCAAATTATCAGCAGAAGTGCAATAAATCAAATTTCTGCCAAATTTTGGGAATTATCCATTGGGAAGAATTTAAGTGCATATTATTAATTCGTGAACTCGGTTTCCTTAGATATTCATGATACTACATGAATTTACCTGCCGTGACTCTTCAGTACATCGCCTTAACGTGCCATCAAGCGTTTCTTGTCCAATCATTCCGCTTTGTCTTTGTTTGTGGTTATATTAAATTTATTTGCCTATAGTCACTAAGTCGATTCGTTGACAGATCAAGTTCTCAGTTTGATCGTCTCATTTTAGAATCTGTGCCAGTTAACTGATGACACTTAGATAAAACGGACCTTCAGTCCGAAAAAAGGATACCTAACCGAACTTAGTGACACTCCCGGCGAGGAGATCTAAGAAGAAGTCATCAGCAGCTGTCGATAAAAATATTTACTAATTTCATTTAATTTTCACTGCTCAATATAACCCTTGCTTGCTCATGATAATTAAACCTTAAGTGCTTCTTTTTTATTTGTTATTTTTTTATTTATTTATTTATTATTTTATCTTTTTTTCACATTGAGTTCGTGGACTTCACTTTTAGGCAGCGAACTCGATATTGCACCACATTGACTTTGAGATATGAATCATCATAAATTTTCCAACTAACTATTCATAGCCAACGATTTGCCGCGAGTACTTAGCTGTAGACACGTGATTGTTCTTATTTCGAGGCCTAATTTAGTTTCCAAAGCCAAAGTAAAATGACCTTTAAATAAATATTAAAAGTATTATTTAAGTACATAGTACGAATACTCGTCGTTGCTGTTTCGCCTTGAAAGTTCAACTTACTCTATTTAGCTTAGTTGCTCATTGGCAGTGCACGGACTTCGAAAAAATTTAAAGGGCTAGATTTTACATACAAAAATTGGAAGAAGTTGGTAGATTAAAAAAAATAATAATACTAGATATTTTTTACTCATACAGGATAAATGAAGGCGACTTCAGGTAGGGTAGTGTTATCAGAGAAGCTGGATTTTCGCCTCGGTGATTCTTATTGTCAAAATGAAGTATTTGTTGTAATTCTTATTGTCATTACGCGTAAAATTTGTTAGTGGCATTTTTGTTTTTAAACTTCTGCTGTTAGCTTATATGAATTCGCCTTGGAATAAAATGTATTTTTTTTTTGTTAAACAACACAAAATGTATTTTACGCCAATAAAACATGCAAGGCATTTTCTTTCTCTATTCCTCCTTGAGCGCAGAATACCTGAAATTTGACATTTGTGTACCGAAAGCGAAAACAAAATACATGTTAGTTTTTGTTTGTGTACTACCGCTACCACCTTATATGAATTCGCCTTGCTCGCTACCAAATGCCATAATCTCAAAAAGAAATTTCGATTTGAATTTTATTCCATCAGGGATGCCTTGTTTGATTAAAATTAGTTTTGAAATGCTTGAAATTTGCAAAGCATTAATTTGGCAGTCTCCCACATAAACGTATCGCAAACGAAAAATATTTCCATAAACAGATGATGGAGTGCAATTTCACTTTTAAATTCAGAGACTTTTAAGTCAGAGTTAACTTTTCATATTTATTTTAGGTGTCTTCGATGACAAAATATGCATACACTGCGTTCATTTAAATCTCTTTGCTTTCTTTCTGGAAAATATTGGGAGATTTTTAGCCTTTGTTGGTAAAAATGGTAGAAAATAAAATACTGCTAAAAAGTAGGTAGATCTACCAATAAAGTGATAGAGTCCGTGCACTGCTCATTGGGCTGGTTGGCGTGGCGATTTCAAGGCCCTTTATCAGCAGCGCTCTTCCATCGTGCTACGCGGCACGCAAAGCCGTCGATGCGTCAGACGTCGGCATAGCGAGGTAGCGCCGCTCGACTGGTTAAGGGCGCACATATACACGCCTAAATAATTTTTCATACAAAATGCAACAAATCTAGCAAGCGAAATTAAGTTTTAAGATTATGATTCAACACAAAATATTACATGTGTATGTAGTACATATGTATGTACATATCTACATAGTTGAATAATTGCAAGTGTGTGTATTCTTATCAGCCAGCAACTTAAACCGCAAATAAATAGCACGGAGCTGATGCGCCGAGGCCAATGCGCGCAGATTGGTTGGTGGTCAGAGATCGAGCAACAGCTGTTCCACAAATGTTTTGCCGCCTCGACTGCCTCGTTCGAATGCTGATTTATATGAGCGATATGTATGTATTTAGTTTGTTTCATTTTTTTCTGTACGTCCCTCCGTATGCGGTTTATATTGGTTCTAGAATGCGCGTAAATTTTCCATGCCATAAAACGCTCACAATTGACGCGATGCCGCGACTGCTGTGAGAAATTACCCATTTTGAAAACAAATAATACTTGTAATCCATTTCGACAACATGGTGCGATTTGACTGGTGTAACGCTAATGTCGTCTCGCAAATATGCATACATACGTAAAAATGTCATGTGCAAACGTGTACGCCGTAAATCAAGAGGTCGGCAGTCAGTTAGCCAATTAGCTAGTCCGTTGGTGAGACCTACCAACTGGTTTGTTTGTTTGTAAGTCGCAAAGTTACTCGCAGTCTACTTCTCTACCGTCCATTTTTTGTGTTTTTTGTTAATCACCGACATATCAAAGCAAAACTTGCAACTAGTACAAAAAAAAATAAACCTAGCGCATAATTTTAGTATATTTGATTACTAATAAATCCCATTAGGAAATAAGCGAATTGTTGCGGTGTGATCGCATGTAATTTTCCAGTGCAGCTTTTTTCAAATTGATGCGAATTTATTCCATTGTTTTCTTCGTTTTTTGTACTTGTCTGCGCTTTAATTGTTTATGGTTTACGTGAGATTTTTTATACACAATTTTGTTTTATTTTTTATTGCTGTTTTATTGTTCCCTTGACGCGTTCGCACGCGATCTGAATTCGGCCAAATAAATAAGCTTTCAAGTACGAATAAGAGTATGTAAATGTAATATTGTTTTTTTTTTTTATATCGTTAAAGTCGGGCGTGTCACAGATGTCGCATTGCTTTGATACGAGTTTAAAGCGGTTGGAGATTATTTGTGTTCCGTGTTTATTTGCCAAGCTATTATTCCGCATGTGTTTTAAAGACGCAGAAAAAGGCGCAGATAGTGTAGATCCCAGCATGTGCCATTTAATAATTTGGTAAGCCTTTCGTTCAGATATACCATGGGAAGAATGTTTTTCTCGTGTTTTGTTTCATTAAGTGATCGATAATGATCCCAACGACTTGCTGAAATGGGGGTGTTGTGGACCTATCATACACAAGAAATGGCCATCCTACACGTTTGTTTTGCAGACCAATTTTCATTTGTCAACTAGAAAAATATACTTAACTAAATATGTGGGTAGCAAAAAATATCGGTAAAAAAAATATCAGTAACAAAAAATATCGATAACAAAAACTATCGATAGCAAAAAAATATGGACGACAAAAATATCGATGACAAAAAGTATCGATAACAAAAAATTTTGATAACAAACTATATCAATAGCAAAAAACATCGATAACACAAAATTTCGATGACAAAAAATATCGATAGCAAACAAATTTCTATAACAAAAAATATCGATGGCAAACAAATTTCTATAACAAAAAATATTGAAAATAGCTATCGATGACAAAAATATTGATAACAAAAAATATCAATAGCAAAAATATTAACAAAAGTATTGATTACAAGAATATATCACACGTTTAATAATATAGAGATGTAACTCAAAATTTACGTTTCTGGAGATTTCAATATGCAATTAATAGGCATATGTTCAGTCCAAGAGATAACCAAACTTCCGAAATATGGTGGAGATATGTGTCTTTCTATCTGTCTTTTTGTCTGCATTCTTTGGTCATTCTTTTGCTGCCAGGTGTTTGTGAGTGATAAAAAAATTAATGAGTAGTATCTGTAATCCTAGTCCTATCTATCAATTCGGTGTTTTCCTTACTGAATTTCTATCTAAAAAACTCAGTCGACTTTGCAGATTTCAAATCTAATTTTATGTTTCTGCACTTAATTTATTAGAACTTCGCTTGTTGGATTTTTTTTTTTTTAAATGCGATTTTGCGTGGGATTTGGTTACATGTGTAGGTATTGTGAGCTTGATTAGCATAAATTTTCCAAAATTGTAGTATGTGTAGTAATGATATGTGCGAAAAAAGTAACAAATAAATAGCGCTTTGAAAGTGAAACAATTATAGAGTATCATTCCAAAAGCACACATGATTTATAATTATACAGGGTATTATGACTCATAACTACCCAGTGGGAAAAGTGTGATGTATAGTAATCGAAAAAATAGTAAAACAACCATTTTCACATTCGAAAATGCATTTTTTTCCCAGGTCGACGATGTTCTAAGAAAAGTGGGGCATTCAATTTTGGATTACCAAGTATCGAGAAATGAATGTGTTTTAATATGAAATTTTTGGAACTTTTTGAATACATTAGAATGCTGATTACATAGTTAGCAGTAATATTATCGAGAACGCATAAGAAATACATTATATTATTTATCACGCATGTAATGCATTACTACTTTTCCGACTGGGTATACACTAATAAAGAATGAATAAATGAAAAAAGAGTATTTATTACTTACCTTACCTCTAATAATGGTGTATGCGTAGCTAGTCTGCGGAAGGAAGCAGTGGGGTCATTGTGTTTATGAATGGTTTGGTGTATGAAATACTGAATGGGAAATGATTTGAATGACCTACCAAACGCTGGGCTCAAGAATTCAACAATGTTTTGACTTGTTGACCTAGACGTTGTTGTGGTTAAACTAATTTTCCATTCCTCTTTTTTTACCACAGTACTAGTTTGGGAAAATTTCTCAAAGATTTCTAAGAAACACGCACAAAAAAAACTAAAAGAACAATTCAATGAGAAAAACAACAATTATGTGTAGCAACAAACCCACGAACAACAACAAAACAAAACCAAATACTGATAAAGACCGCAACGCACACACAAAGGTAAAGAAAAGTGAGTGGAAAGCGTAGTGAAAAGTACGCAAGAAAGTAAACATTCATTAGATATTCAAAGACCAAAAACAAAAACTAGATAAACAACAGAATAACATAAAAAAATAAAAATAAAACCAACAACAATAAGAGAACACCGCAAGTAAAAGGCGATTACCTGCGTACCAGCATCCCCACTTTGTGTGACCCTCACTCATCGCAATCTCAACTTCAAACCAATCTGACTTGATTTAACCTCTTTTCGAGGTGCACAAAAACCTTTGAAATTATGTTGAGAACGCCCACACACATCGTGGAACTGAGTACGAATACGACGAGTCCATTGCTACAAAAGTTCCACGTCGGCGACGGTGGTGGCTCTGTGAACGGCTCCAGTGCCGTCGGAGTGAAGGCGGGCAGCTGTTCGGCAGCAGCAGCAGCAGCAGCGGCGGCTGCGGTGCAATATCAGCAGCAACAAAAACAAACAACGAACAAATTTTTTAACGATCGCCCGCAACAACAAAAGCAAACGACTGGCGGCGGTTATCGATTACAAACGAAGGGCATGAAATCATCCTCGGCTGTAAGCAAAGAACATATAATAACAAGCACAACAACAACGGCAGTAACACCAACAGCAGCGACTACGCCAATATCAGCTGCTAGAAGCCTCTTGTCATCGACACCATTCATTTCGTTTAAGCGTATTCGAAAATCAAAAACTTCAACAACCACAACAACATCAACGAAAATCGCTGCAAGCAATACGTCGGCGGGGCGCACAAAAACGAATGGTTTAATCGCCGCTGCTGTGGTGGAACACGTTTATGCACCCGCAACGCTTGCCGCCGGCACTGTGAACGGCCAATTGGCGCAGCAGCAGCACGACTCATCAGTTGGCGATTGCACCGACAGCAATAACTATCACTTTTGCTCTGGCAACAGCAACAGCAACAGCAACGGCAACAACAATAACTATTTGAAAGCAGAAATCGCTTCGTTGGTAAGCAGCACCGCGCCGTTGGTGAAATCATCATCGTCATCGTCGACTGCCTCCTCGACGGCTTCATCAAATCAATCGGCGTTCTCAGCAACGCCGCTCTCCGCATCTGCCTCCGTTGCTAGCGTAGTCAACGCGAGCAATATTAGTTGCAGCACGCAGAGCAGCGTGATCTCGAGCACATCCAGCGTTGCGTCCGTAGTAACGATGTCGCCAACAACACAGGCGCCTACGAGAACCTCGTTGTTCGATTCGTGTCATCGGAAGATACGTTTGATCGGCGGCGGACCAGTCGCCTTTCTGGGCGGACTTGTAGCGTAAGTTTTTGCTTGCTAATATTTATTTAATTTTTTATTAGTTAAGTATAATTTTTTTAGGTTTGCTTAATTCAATACCTCAACGGTTTCCCACTCAATTGTTTTACGGCTGGGTTGAAAGTTTGCCTAGGTTTTACTTTCATACCTACTCGTAAACGAGAGCGTAAATGGGCATAATCCAAGGTTTAGTTTGTTATCTGACCGAAAGCGATTTGCGCCACAAGTACTAATTCTATCTGGGGCTCCCAGATACACTTACTTATATGTACTGACCAATCGATGTTATTTGAGTTAAAAATCGATGGAATCCCAAAGGACTTAAAACCAACAAATTAGATAAAAATAATCGCAATAAACCCGACTAAACTGGCTGAAAAATGAGCAGCTTATCCGTGGAAGCTGAAAGGCCCTTCGCTTGCATTAAAATAAACTACAGCTTGATGAGTCCTACTATATATAAACCGATAAAGGGAGTATATTAGTTTTCTTATTACGAAATCCCCCCGTGGAAAACTGGAAGTGTCGAAACGGTTATTCTTTTGTGACTCTGCACCCCTGAGTTTGTTTCGAATGGCGAAGTCTTTCTCTCCTTAGCACAATTAGCGAAATGGCACTAATATAATCTAGTAGGTGTGCCTACACACTGGCATCTATGTATCTTGGAGTATTTGTTCTAAAACTGACCCAGAAATGAGATGTGCACTGAGCTTGGAATTCGCCACGTGAAAACCACGTGATTATACCTATATATATCAGCCTCGAATATTGACCTCCCCGAACATTGCGTCTCGGACTAAATCGAGAAACGGTCGCAGAGCCATATAAGAAGAGTGTGGGGTGATATGTTCATTCTATTGTCGTTTTAGCGGCTCCACTCAGCACTGACTAACTCAGCTAGCCTATCTATCGTTGTCATCAAGCTAAACTAACGGTAGGTCCAGAAGACGTGCTATTTCTATCAAGTCGGTCTAAAGGGAGTGTTCGCTGGGTGGATGTGAGTGGGCTAGTTAAGAGGTGGTTGGTGTCATCAGAAGACCCTTCGCGAGCCGCGCTTTTGTATGTCGGAGTGGAGTCTGGATAGATGCGACCAATCGACCAAAATAGACCGGCCGCCTCTTCGGCAGAGGTTAAAAGCATTTTAGCACAGTTACATTAGGATCCCTCCAATTTCAACCTACATTTGCTGCTTTTTTATAAACTTTTTCCAAACAGTTATGTCGTAAAATAAATTTGCCAAACGGTTGTTGCAGCATTATTTCTCCATCTCAAAGTGAATATTTTAGACACACAAAAGCAAATGCGCGTCATCTCAGCCAGCGGCAGCGACGAGGGTTCATTCATTCATTTAACGTTGCTTTGAACTTTTAACTGCGTTTAAATTGCAAAGTCAAGGCACTGAACTACATCCATACTTATAATGTACTTAATGTATTTATATAGATACAGACACTCGCATTTAAAGCGGTCAACGCAATGACGCGCCACAAGGCAACTGTTGCGACTGTGGCATCAACGGCCACGGCAACCGCACCTCGCGGGCTGGTAATTCAATTAAAGTTGACTGCCCCCAAAGTGCCACCGGCTGCCTTCCGATGATGTTGGTGATGCTGTTGATTATTGTGCATCGTCGTCGACATTCATCCAGCTGCTGGTGCTGGTGCTTGGTGGTGTGCAGGCGGTGGCGCATGGAGCAGCAAAAGCAAGCGAGTTTTGCGAGTAGTACTCATATTCAAGTGGCTCATATTTTTTTGCGTACTTCTCAAGTATGTAATGTATTTAGTTTTTGTGGGTCTAATTACAAGTGGTGCAATCGTGCTGCTGCTGCTGTGTGTGTGTGAACTTATTGCTGAGCAGCACCCAGTTGGGTATATGAACTGCGTCAAGGTCTCGCTGCCGCTCGCCTAGCAGCAGGTGTGGGTAAAATGACGAGGTACTTATGTATTTAATGTTATTATTTCGTAGGTTTTTTTAGATTTGTAGTTTTTTTTTTTAATTATTCCTTTATTGTGTTTTGTATTTGCAACAATATCAAAGAAACCATCGGCTGTCTCTTCGCGGTTGGAGTTCTTCAGCACTCGCGTTTTTTTTTTGTTTGTTTTTTAGCAATTTATTGTTGCGTTTCACCTTTTATGTTTGTATAAGTTTCTTTGTGTCATTTTTTTTGTAATAAATTTTATACTTTTTTTCCTTTTTTCTTCACTTCAGCCAAAACCAACCATTGTTGTCGGCTTCGCGGCTATTTTTGCCATTGATGCCATTTGTGTGCCGCTGTTCACCAAGTCACATCTTTTGTGCTCGGTTACTCATTTGTTAACAATTTGTTCATTTGTCAGTCTGTGGCGTTAGCGGTGTTGTTGCCAACTATGTATGCCTTTATATTTTGCGCATTTTTT